ATTTTTCTAATGATCAATGATGCTGAGCACCTTTTAATATGCCTGCTTGTCATTTGTATGACTCCTTTTGAGAAACATCTATTCGAATCTTGTGCCTAATTTTGATTGGGTTATTAGACTTCTTCCTATAGAGTTGTTTTAGCTTCTTATATATATATTACAGTTCTTAATCTCTTGTCAGATGGATAACTTGTAAACTTTTTCTCCTATTCTGTGGTTGGCCCTTCACTTTTTTGATTGCTTCCTTTGCTGTATAGACGCTTTTAAACTTGATGTGATCCCATTTGTCCATTTTTGCTTTGATTGCCTGTGCTAGTGGGGTATTACTCACGAAATCTTTGCCCAGATTGATGTGGAGAGTTTCCCAAATGTTTTCTTGTAGTAGTTTCATAGTTTGAGGTCTCAGACTTATTTTTAATCCATTTTGATTTGCTTTTTCTATACGGTGAGAGATCAAAGTCTAGTTTCATTCTCTTGCATATGGATAGCCAATTTTCCCAGCATTATTTATTGAAGAGACTCTTTTCCCTAATGTCAATTGATGACACTTTTGTTGAAAATGAATTCACTGCAGGTATGTGGATTTATTTCAGAGTTCTCTATTCCTTCGATTGGTCTATGTGTTTCTTTTTATGCCAGTGCCACCCTGTTTTGATTACTCTACCTCTGTAGTATAATTTGAAGTCAGGTAATGCAATTCTTTCAGTTTTGTTCTTTTTGCTTAAGATAAAGTTGGTCATTGTGGGTCTTTTGAGGTTTAATATAAATTTAAGAATTATTTTTTCTATTTCTGTGAGAAATGTCATTAGTGTTTTGATAGGGATTGCATTGAATCTGTAGATTGCTTTGGGTAGTATGGAAATTTTAACAATGCCGATTTTTCTAATCCATGAGCATGAAATATCTTTCCATTTTTGGTGTCTTCTTCAATTTCTTTCATCAATATTTTATAGCTTTCATTATAAAGATCTTTCACTTGTTTGGTTAATTCTTATGTATTTAAGTGTGGCTATTGTAAATGGGATTATTTTTAATTTTTTTCAGAGTGTTCACTGTTGGCATATAGAAATATTATTGTTTTTTTGTATGTTGATTTGTATCCTCCAACTTTACTGAACTGGTTTTTCAGTTATAATAGTTTTTCAGTGGAGTCCTTAGGTTTTTCAAAATAAAAGATCATATCATCAGCTAACAAGAATAATTTGACTTCTTTCATTCAATTTTTGATGCCCTTTATTTCTTTCTCTTGTCTGATTGCTCTAGCTAGGACTTCCAGTACAATGCTGAATAAGAGTAGTGAAAGTGGTCATCCTTGTCGTGTTCCAGATCTCTCAGGAAAAGCTTTCACTTTTCCCCCGTTCAATATGATACTGAGTGTCTGTTATATATAGTTTTTATTATGTTAAGATATGTTTCTTCTACATCCCGTTTATTAAGGGTTTTTATTTACTTATTTATCTTTTTTTTTTTTTTTTTTTGAGATGAAGTCTCGCTCTGTCACCTAGGCTGGAGTGCAGTGGCACAATGTGGGCTCACTGCAAGCTCTGCCTCCCGAGTTCACGCCATTCTCTGGCCTCAGCCTCCCGAGTAGCTGGGACTACAGGCGCCCGCCACCATGCTGGGCTAATTTTTTGTATTTTTAGTAGAGACGGGGTTTCACTGTGTTAGCCAGGATGGTCTCGATCTCTTGACCTCGTGATCCACCCGCCTTGGTCTTCCAAAGTGCTGGGATTACAGGCTTGAGTCACCACACCCGGCCATTTGTTTGTTTTTTACACACCACTTCTATTGGCCATTCCTAGCTCCAAGAGGGTCTGTGTTGATGTTGTTATTGTTTTCTAATAAGGAAAAAGAGGACAACTGAGGTTAGGAGACAAGTAGCCACCTGTGCACAGGGTCAGACATAAAGTCAAATGATCACTGATGCAGCTCTGGTGATCAGCCTCTCTGAAAAATCACCAAACTTAACCCCAAATCCTAAGGACTCCATACCTAAAACCCCCTAAAATGAGATCAGTGAAAATGAGCAGGGGGCAAGATTGGGACCCATGAGAATGTATCCAGTAGGATCATGATCAGTCAAGCAAATGGGTTTAACTTGGGTTTCCTGGACTTGGTTTTCTTTCATTATTATTATTATTATAATACTTTAAGTTCTGGGATACATGTGCAGAACGTGCAGGTTTGTTACATAGGTATACACGTGCTATGGTGGTTTGCTGCACCCATCAACCCGTCATCTACATTAGGCGTTTCTCCTAATGCTATCCGTCCCCTAGCCCCCCATTCCCGACAGGCCCTGATGTGTGATGTTCTCCTCCCTGTGTCCATGTGTTTTCATTGTTCAACTCCCACTTATAAGTGAGAACATGCGGTGTTTGGTTTTCTGTTCCTATGTTAGTTTGCGGAGAATGATGGTTTCCAGCTTCATCCGTGTCCCTGCAAAGAACACGAACTCATCCTTTTTATGGCTGCATAGTATTCCATGGTATACACGAGCCGCATTTTCTTTATACAGTCTACCATTGATAGACATTTGGGTTGGTTTCAAGTCTTTGCTACTGTGAATAGTGCTGCAATAAACATACATGTGCATGTGTCTTTATAGTAGAATGATTTATAATTCTTTGGGTATATACCCAGTAATGGGATTGCTGGGTGAAATGGTATTTCTGGTTCTAGATCCTTGAGGAATTGCCACACTGTCTTCCACAACTGTTGAACTAATGTACACGTACCAAAACAGATATACAGACCAATGGAACAAAACAGAGGCCTCAGAATTAATTCCATACATCTACAACCATCTGATCTTTGACAAACCTGACAAAACAAGCAACGGAGAAAGGATTCTCTATTTAATAAATGGTGTTGGGAAAACTGGCTAGCCATATGCAGAAAACTGAAACTGGATTCCTTCCTTACACCTTATACAAAAATTAACTCAAAATGGATTGAAGACTTAAATGTAAGACCTGAAACCATAAAAACCCTAGAAGAAAATGTAGGCAATACCATTCAGGACATATGCATGAGCAAAGACTTCTTTAGCATTTCTTTAATAGAGTAGCACTGATAAGTATCTGTCTGTTTTTTTCCAACTGTATTTCCTTCTGCTCTATTATTTTTTCTCTCTCTGTGACTTCAAATATTTGTAAATTAATTATTGAGAAAATAATAATAGTAATAATAATACTTATTATTATTTGAGACAGAGTCTCACTCAGTTTCCTAGGCTGGAGTGCAGTGGTGCAATCTCCGTTCACTGAAACTTCTGCCTCATGGGTTCAAGCAATTCTCCCTTCTCAGCCTCCTGAGTAGCTGGGGCTACAGGTATACACCACCAAGCCTGGCTAATTTTTGTATTTTTAGTAGAGGCAGAGGTTTACCATGTTGGCCAGGCTGGTCTCAAACTCCTGACCTCAAGTGATCCGCCCACCTCGGCCTCCCAAAGTGCTAGAATTACACGCATGAGCCACCGTACCCAGCTGAGATAATGATTTTTTAATCAAATAATTAAGTTTTCTTTCTGTTCTCTATATATTGATGTATGATATATATTGTCATTGAAATTTTGATTGTACTCACCATGGGATATCTTACTTTGGGATAGGCAGCATCTCATATACAATTTATTCCCTTTGGCAAAAGGAGGATTATTTTGTTGTGAATTCAAACCTTCATTAACTTTAGTGTAACACTATGCCATAAGTGACGTGTTCTGTTGTTAAATCACAAATAGTATTAGGACTGAGAGGCTTAGGCAGGAGAATGGCTTGAGCTCATGGGTTTGAGGCCAGTTTGAGTGACAAAGCAAGACCCCTTGTGGAAAAAAAAGAGAAACTTTTAAATGCAGTGTATTTAAAACATGTATTTCTAGACATTTATTACCGGTATAAGAAAATCGTATTTATTATCTAATATTATAAACGGGCATGATCACTATCATTTCTTTAGTTTTTAAAAGTTTTCAGCATTTGTGTGATTATGTCATATGTATTTATCGATTGACATAGACCTTAATGTCTTATAATACAGAAGTGGACATCTGTATATTATAATTTAATTAAAAAATGAAAGAACTTCCACTTAGAATACCACTATAGCTGTTGGTATAAATGCAGAAATAAACAAAAAGTTAACTAAAAATTCACGTGTATGATGACATCGGAGAGCTACAGAAGACACGAAGATCAGATTAACTAAAATTCTAGAGAAGAAAGAAACCTCTGTAGGTGAGGTAAATCTGAGCCCTCATTTAGGTTTGTGTGTGTGTATATGTGTGTGTGTGTGTGTGGGTGGGTGTGTGGTTTCCACGGAATTTATTTAATCAGAACAGCAGAAGGTTCTAGAAAAACACATTTTTAACCAAGGACTGCAGATGATTCTAAGTTTTGAGTAAAAGCGTGGTTGGCGGAAACAATTTTACACTTTATTGTGTGTCTGGTTACCTATATGATAAAACTAAAAGCCATGTAATGGAATAAAACATTGCTTTATATATTAGTAGATACCTAAATGCAATATGGTCTTAAAAATGAAATCACATGTATATAGTTGTATTTCTAAGTATATTAGTCCCCCCTTATCCAAAAATCCCCTTTCTGTGGTTTCAGTTAACTATAGTCTACCATAGTCTAAAACACATGAGTACTGTACAAGAAGATATTTTGAGAGCAAGAGAGACCGACCAAATTCACAAAACTTTTATTACAGTATGTTGTTAACATTGTTCTATTTTATTATTGTTATTAATCTCTTGCTATGCCTAATTTACAAATTACACTTTATTATAGGTATGTATATATAGGAAAAACAGTGTATAAAGGGTTTGGCATTATCTGAGGTTTCAGGAGTCCACTGGGTGTCTTGGAACCCATCCCCTGAGGGTTCCAAGGGGGAACTACTCTACCCAAAACTGAAGCTATACAACAATGAAAAATATTGAGAAGACAAATCCAAGTATAAGTGAAGACATTTCTTTGAATTCCCAGGTTTCATCAAGCATCAAAAACTGCCAATCTTGTTGCCCTTTTCTTGTATGTTATTTTGTATCCACATTCTCTGAATCTGATTGGATCCCTGTATTTTATTTCATTTTCTGTGTGACATTCTCCATATATAGTTATAGATATACATATATAGATGTACATATCATGACATACATGTCTATACATATGTATAGACATTTCTGCTTTGGGGGTTGAACGTCCTTCTGGGTGTCCATTGTTAGCCCCTGCACAGCACAGGGAAACTTCTCACTCTGCACTTCTAAACAGAACCCGGCTTGTTGCTATCTCACTTAGTTCTGCAGTGAAGTTTGCTGAAGTTGAGTGTTGACAGGGTTTCTGGGTTGGCCCAGGCAGAGGTACACTACTGGGAGGAGAATCCAGCTGAGTTTGGCAGTTGCTTGGAGCTGCCTTAATAGATGGTCAGGAGCTGAACTCGTAATACCGGGCTGGATTTCTCCTTGGTGTATTTGCTGTGGTCTCGGGTGAGAAAGGCAGCTGAGAGGGTGTGCCTGAAAGACAGTGTGAAACTTCTCACAGTTTCATGGGGCTTCCTATCTCTAATACTGCACTAATTGTCCCTTATGTATTCTTCGACATGGCCCTTGGCTCCCACCACTGAATCTCCTACTGACCTTCCCAGACCCAGTTCTGCCTTTTGGTCAACATAATCTACTTCCTGACTACATGGTCTGTTCTGAACGATGTTCTCTCTCAGATCATTTTCAGGTGTATCATAAAGGTAGATTCAACCTTCGGCAGCTCACCTATACTCTACTGTGTTAAACAAGTATGTGTGATATGACCTGAGGTGCATTTGGACTGTAACTTTACTAACCATTGAATCTCTGAGACTGAGAGCCCTGTGTGATGCTCCACTTTCCCATGAGCTTGCAGTGGCTCAGGGCACAGTCTTGAGTGCCAGGAAGGCATTCCTTCAACTCTGTGATTCTTCCTAAGAAATACCTCAGAGCTCACACCTGGATTTACATCTCAACCCCCACCCACCAGCATCAACATCCAACTTAGGAGCCACAGAGCTGAGTCTTGAGCCCACAGTTGACCTCTACCATGTGCCCTGTATCTTCTTATTTACTGTCCTATGTCCAAAGCCAGATGTGTGTGTGTGTGTGTGTGTGTGTGTGTGTGTGTGTGTGTTTTGGGAGGGAGAGATATTAGCTTTTCTATAATCTTGTATTGAGCATATATTTTTATGAATTCTAATTCTTCCAGACTTGGTGTTTTACTTTTAAAATGCAGCTTGCAATTGAAAAATTTTTTTATTCCAAGTCTGTGACTGAGACTGTTCAAAGACTCTTTGGCACTAGGCCTTTGTGTTTGAAGAGATTTACAAACTCTATCCAGCAGCTCAAAATAAAAAATATAAATAGTTTTCCTTTGCTACTCCCTCGAAGAGAGTAGTATAAAATCCTGTGCCTGCCCCTGCACTGGAGAAGGACTTGTGCTAAAAGAAAGTGGAAAGGGAGAAATGGGGTAAATGAAGTGGGAGTGGAAAGTGGGAGGTGAGAGAGAACAAGTGTCTTATGTCACCAGATGTTATCATGCGTGCACATTAGCACCTGCTTAACCAAACAAAACAAACAAAAAAGTCTCAGTTTTGCGTTGTCATGAATAAGCTGCAATTATGTGACTCTCGGGCTGAATGAATTTAATTGATGAATGTACACAAGGCAGGGAGGAGGAGTATGAGCTTTTTACTAGGCTTTCTCTTCCATCACTTCTGGTTGTTTGAATGCCTTCATTCTGCTCCTGGTACTGCCATGCCAAACAGCTACAGCTGAGGAGGTTGAATGAATGGTCCTTAAGTTGAAGCTGAGGCATGCATGCACCCTAGCCCTCATGGGTAAGCTCTTTCCCTGAGCCCTTTGACATCCTTCCCTTATATAGACTCAGAGATTCTGTTGAGTTACTCCCCGGAGAAGCAGCACATGTGGGGAACTGAGCCATTCCAGCAGGGAAGCTTAGGTTCGGAACTGTATCACTGTGTGAAGAGATTGTGTACCTTGCAAGTAGTGATAAATCCCAACATCCTCAACCTCCACTCTGCTGACTTTCAGTGTGAAGTCTGTGCCTAACTCACTGCCACTGAACCTGTCTGGGAGCCAGAACTGGTTGGAAACACCATAGATCAGGAGCTGTGGAAACTAGCCTGGCTTCCGCAGGTACCAATGCAAATAGGTGTATTCATCACTATGCAGGAGGCTCTAACTAGACCTGTAGGAGATGGAGGCTGGCTCTCCAGGGGTGACGGGCAGGGAGAGTGGAATCCGGGTCATCACAATAACCCTAATGAATCCTGAAATATTGAGAGAAAAGTACAAGGTTATGTACAAATATGTGTTATTTTCATAATTTCGTAATTTTTTGTGAATTATTTCAGGCTATATCATTTCTGTGTGTTTGTGATTTGGTTTACATATCTAAATACCTAATTTTTAAGAACGGATATTTACAAGACACACACGAACTTCTAGGGTTTTCCTACATTATCCTCCTCTTTGTGTGTCAGAGTCTTTCCCACAGCACAGGTCCTTGTTCTGGATTATTCCATACATTCACATATCTAAACATCACATGCCCCATCCTGGAGGACAGTACATGCACATCTGACATGTGCACAGAACACATACGGGAGGCAGTGGGGCCCCCAGAGGCTACCCTCCTACCCCATTCTCCTTCCTCGTCTCCTTCTTTCCTTACCGGAGACCCAGAGCATCAACAGCCCCAGGAGCTGAGCAGGCAGCCTCATTGTGAGAAGATGAACTGAGGAGTCCTGATCAGTCAAGGCAAGATTAGAGCTGAGCTTTTATCTCAGACTCACAAGGGAAAGTCCTCCCTAGGGGACAATATGCAAATCCCCTGGTGAGTGCAGCAGTGTGGAAAGAGCCAAAGGGAGGGTGGAGGTCCTCTTTTTTGAGCAAAATGACATCAAGTATTTTCTGTCTTTGGAAGAAAGCGCATAGAGATTTAAGTCCATGCCCCCTGCAGTAGGGGTCCGAGGGATCCCACTGTGAAAGTCTAGATTTACAGTGAGGACACAGTGCATGTGGTCCTGCCCCTCTAAGAAAGCATCACAGATCTGACAATGTAGAGATGTTTGTTTTGGTCAGTCTTTGGGATTGCCACCTTGTTTGGCTCCTTTCTAAGCTAGTCTGAAGACGGAAACAGCTTCCAACCTGTCTAGTACTGATCTTCACATTTTTTTCCTAATAACAACATGGAGTTGAACTAGTTCAAGAGTTGTCTGGTATCTGCTATTACCAGATAAACTGTTTAAGAATGTTAGGAACAAGTGTTAGAAATGGTCTTTTCCTAAACATAGTGAATTAAACTTCATGACAGCACTCAAGTCAAGAAAACCTGGCAGGGAAAAATACATCTGCCTCTTTAAGCTAGAGAGTGAATAACCTTGTTTAAGGTAGAGGTAACAGGGAAAGGATTTCAGGCCTTAGATAGTGAATATGAAATTTCTTGTAATTAGTTGTTATAAACTGGTGGATATTCTATTCTCTCTGTGTGTATATATTTGTAAAATATATATATAAAATTTTTCTATATAGAGATTATATAGCATATATGGGTATATGTGTATATATATAATTCATATATGTGTGTATATATGTATATACATCTATACCAGATTAATCAAAAGGTTTCTAAGGAGGTAATTCTCATTAATCAAAAGATTTCTTAAGGAAAGAATTCTCCCAGGACAGTAAGACAGGACAGAATGAACAAGGGATTATTTTATATGTTCTTTATGAATGGTAACAGAAAATTACTCCCATACCTTTTCTTTCTTGTCATGTAGTTGGATAGCCACAGTTGTGAGTTCACAGTCGAAAAGGAGATTTCATATGTTAGAACAACAGGAATTGAATCAATTCTTTCAATGTCTTTCCTTGGACTGTCATCAAGGATGGTCACTATGGAAGAGGGGCCTAGGTCAGAACCGGTCAAGGCATTAACCGGTTCCCTCCAAAAATGTGAGAACAAAACTTTTTGTTGTTTTTGGTCACCAAGCTTGTGATCCTTTGTTACAACAGCTCTAGGAAAGGTATACAATACAGAAACTTGTCTGGGGGAAATTGAGAAAGAATTCTATTGAGATTTTTTGTTTGTTTTACTACTATTCTATTAAATAGTAGTAAATTCAATTCAGCTTGAGAAAGCTACTTTTACACAGTATTTATAGATGCTTGAATTTAAGAGAATGTTCTTAGTTTTTGTGAAATTAATACCCTTGAAATCCTCAGTTCTGATTGATGGTTTTATTTCATGATTTGTTGCCTTGAAATATACAGAAAATATAAATGTTATAGAATTGTCTTCTTAGAAAAGTGCTTTGAAATTTTTCTATATTATCTGTAGATAAAAAGTCTGATAGTCTTATTTTTAAAGAAGAACCTCTGTCTACTATTCGTTAAGAAACCATGCTGTGAGCCAGACAACAAAACTGTCCAGCTGCCATCATCAACCAAGTGACAAAGGACTAATACAGGTTAGTTTTATTGTAGTTTCATCTTGTTGCGAGAATCCGTTATTTTGGAGTCAGTAAAACTGGAAGCCACTGTGTGATTTTTATCACCTGGGAAGACTGACTTGTTGGTGGAGTCAGTGTTTGTGGGGTGGAGAAAGTGATGTGGTTTCACATCCTGTAGATTTTGAGCTAAAGACTTTGTCAACCCAAACACCTCACACGCATAGTGATTTGGACAAACTTGGAAACATTCAGTAGCCTGTTCCCTATCTGGTTCCCAATGGAGGTTCTTTCTGATTGAATGTGAGAGTTTGCTATTGCATGAAAAGTGACATCATTCCAGCCAGCTGAAGTAGCTTTCTTATCTGCAGATTAATTGGAGTGGAATCCTAAGTCCAGAGGCACCTGTAATGGAGGTTAGTCACTTTCTCTAAGTAACTGTAATTTGCAACCCACCACTAGAGAATAAATGCACAGATTGGGCCGGGTGCGGTGGCTCACGCCTGTAATCCCAGCACTTTGGGAGGCTGAGGTGGATGGACCACGAGGTCAGGAGATCGAGACCATCCTGGCTAACACAGTGAAACTTCATCTCTACTAAAAAATACACACACACACACACACACACAAAGCTGGGCGTGGTGGCGGGTGCCTGTAGTCCCAGCTACTCAGGAGGTTGAAGCTGGAGAATGGCATGACCCCCCGGGAGGTGGAGCT